CAAAGAGTGAAAAATTGAAGGGGGTCTGAATACTTTCCGTACCCACTGTATATATATATATATATATATATTAATCGACAAAACAGAAATACACAAGCATACATAACGTCCGGGTTGTTGATGTAATGACCGTTTTGTTTGTTAGATGATGCCAGATTCAGAACAAATAAATATTTAAAATATTTACATTTTCGCCAGTACATTTAGCTCCAATATGAGTATTTTAACGTTCCTCGGGTCAAATAAATCTTAATTACCTACAAGTGTTTTTAGAGAAAATCGTGCATGAGCCCTACTTGAATGGCTTGGGCCGATTTGGCTCCCCTGTCGGCGGCATTTGATACTGCGTGCTGCGTAACAGGCTGCTGCCCGTCTCGGAGTCAGAATTCTTCGCTATCAGTGCGTACAGGGGCCATATTGTTGATGTGTCACCTCGGGAGGAGATCACTCACACGGACTTGACACTCATTATTTATCACGGCAGCTGGTATATGCCATTTTTAAATGGATTTAACATAACCGGTAAGTCACATATTTAAAATAAAATGCCCAGATCTCAACTACAAAAGCGAATGTTTATTTAATTAGCCTGAAAGCTAAGTCAATGGGTGAACTCAATGGCAGCTGGCTGATATAGTTACTGTTATTGTCAGTGTTCTATACCTTTAATAATCTATAGGATTGTTATAAACACTCTGATAACAAGCTAAATGCCTGGTTAGAATCGGTTATGGCTGTTAAAACTCATCTGATCAGCTTGTGAATGTTAGGACTAACGTTAGATCTCCACCACACAGCTGATTTTGTGTGTATTTTTATATTTGTAGGCATTTCAGTAATTGACCATTCTGTAATTTACGTTAATACCGTGTCTGTTTTAATTCGAGTGAACAAAGCAGATCATTTCTCATAAACACGTAAAATATGATATACTTGGACAGGTTAGCCAACATGCTAAAGCTAACTGCACCTGTGTGGGGACAGCAGTATCTGTCACCGGACTTATCGCCTCGAAATGAATAATACAATGATCATTGCAGCTCTTATTTGCAATTATTCCTCTTTTAGTGCTAATTATAGATCAAATAACGAGTTTGTTGCGAGAAAAGGTGGCAGTGCTGGTTTTTGTGGATTTTGCACTGCATCCTCCCTCTGCAGAAGAAATACACTTACAAATATGTATGAGACTGAAGATAACAAAACAAAGACAGATCAAATACAGATAATAAAGGGGGAAAAAGGAAGTTAACCTGGCCAGGAAATTGCTTCACTCATGAAGACTCATGTGAGTCAAAAGCTTTTTGAAAAAGTTTTCAAAAAAAGTCTGCCTAAAAGTGTGATAAGGTTTATCATCCATTAACAGCTTTTTGAAGTATTTCACTGAGTGTCAGTCAGTGAGAAATATTAAACTTTTCAGTTTGGTGCTAGTTGACAGTGGAGAATGTTTGCTTGGAGAGACGCATGAGAAGCTGGTAACCTTTAAAGTTTTAGTTACTGGCAGCTGCACATCTTGTCCTACTACAGACAAGTCTTGTTTCTCAATCAGCATGTGTGTACTTTGCAAGAATACATTTTATTAAGGATATTAAAATAATTATTACTTCATGATGAGAAACTGTAACTTGCTGTAGTGTAGTGTAAACCTACTGTATGTCTGTATGTAGTCATGTATGCTGATACTGAGGTCAAGGTGTTTTATATAGATAGGCCTAACATATTTAACATTTATTGGTGTCAAAATCAAAAATAGATGTACACAAAATTGCTGATATGCAAACTTACTGTACTGTTAGTACTATACTGGAAAAAAGCTGTTTTACATATTTCATATTGTTTTCTGTTCACTGAAAACAGAAATTGTATATTTTCTGCTGACAAAGCTGTTGGTAAAGTTTGTGTAGTAGATTTGGTAAAATATTACACTGGTTATGGTAACCAGTATTTTCCGTCATTAACCAAATTTGAAAAACATTGACAGATAATTACAAAAAAAAAATTCTACTATTTTGACAGGTAAAATGGGATATACTGTGTTTTCCACCTGTAAAATTCCAATTCCATTCCCACACTTAAAGAGGCTTAAAGGGATTAGCAGTAAAAAATGAGAGAAAATGACATTTTAATTTCCTCTACAAAAATCTTCTCTCTCTCTCTTTTTTTTTTTTTTTTTAAGAGAAACGACAAAGAACCTGCAACTCAAGGATTTAAAAAATTCTCCTTATGTGGGCACAAGGTGCTCAGGCCAAGGTCCATTCTTGCACACTCCTAAAATAGGCCTATATTCGTAACATTCATGATTATCCTGCTGGATGGGCTTCTGCCCCAGTTTCACTCATTCAGTGTGAATCACACAAAATCAGTGTCTGTTTCCTCAATGGCAAACAGCATTCCCTTTTGTGTTCTCCAGTGTCATCTATAGGCATTTAGCTGGGAATGCAGTAATCCACTGAATCCTGATACAATGATGTATTAAGCAGGCAGGGTGTGAGAAGGGTAGGGCCACCTTAGTTTCACAATACTAGCATCACAAAACTGCCTCCAGGTGGAAGGAGAGCCGTGTTCCTATTTTGCGAGGGAGTACCACACCTCAATCGTGGATATGTGTGGGCTTGGACAGTTATAGTATACTACTACTTGCTCTATTAATGGCAGTGTCTCGACAGCAGGTGTGGCAAGACTGTTTGCACAAACATTGTACACAACATCCTCAATTCCTGGTGCTAGAAGGAAATCTGATACATGTAAAATAGCCATATGAATGTTTTGCTTTATTGACCTGGTGATCCCCTGATAAGAAATGTTTTATGGTGGCTTCTTGTTGTTAATTATAGAAGTCCATTTTTGATGGTCCATTGGTGTTAGAATTATGACACGAGGAGATTTTTACCTGTAATGATAATTACACTTAACTGTCTTCCAAACACATACACACACATAATAATAATAAATAATAATAATAATAAACAGTTATGAAATTTTATTATTAGCATAATTTTTCACCAGTGTTTCCTAAAGAATTCTGTTTTTTGTAGCCCTCCACCCATTTTTGTAACATAATTCAATTGTTTTTTTTAAATAAATAGAAAAATACAAATTAATTTTGTTTTGTGTTTCACATGCATGTGACTGAATTTTGTGTATTGTGTTTTCCAGTGCCATTAGCTGAAGGAGATCATGGAGCCGTCGGATTGTCAGAGCGAACTGACCCCTGCCTCTGACCCCTCCCAAAGTTCAGAGGTCAGTGTAGTTCCGGAAGGGTCAAACAATGTCCTCAGCAATGGGGGTGAACCTGTTTTAAAAGAACAGGAGGAAGACACTGAGCTGGACAGTCTTGAGCTGGATGGTACTCTTTCAGATAGTGTGGACAGAGAAGGTCAGAGACCAGACATGCACATGGAGGTCCAGCAAGATGAAGGACTTGGAGAACATGCACAGGGTGATGGGAACACAAGCTGTGACAGTGGAACAGCCTCCATTGATGATGCCAGGACTCTACCAGCTGTTCATGATAGTGCTGTAGAATCACTTCCCGCGGTTCTTGATGGAGAACTCGAATGTTCTGGCCTTGAAGAACCAGCGGAGGTGGTTACAGAATCAGAAGGTGGGACTCAGAATAATGTTGAGGCATCTTCTCCATCTGTTCTGAATGGGACAGATGATATTTCATCCACACAACTTGATACATTCAACGGGCCAACAGAACTTAACAGAACTCCTTTGACTCCTACGCCGGCTCCTCAGGGTGAGGAACTGCCAGATGTTGTTTCAGTACCCCAAAACTCGCAATCTAACTCCAACATGAACCCATATGACACGGACTGCAGCAGGAAACTGTTGTCTGAGATCCAGCGCTCTCTGTCTCAGGAGTCTCTGCTGGATGAACTGGAGGATGAGCTGTTGAACAGTCAGTCAGATGGCATCCGCAAGGGAAGTCCTCCCAATGGGCTTCAGAAGGACCAGAACTCCATGGTTTTATTTGAGAAGTGTGTACAATACAAGTACTCCCAAAAGGAGAAAGCCATCAAGAGGTAGGCTGTTGATTAATAGCTCACGAGAGGTTATAGTCCATTGCTGTTAGATTTATAGCAGCAGGAGATGGTAAATCATTAGTTTAATTTGGCATTCTTACCTGCGTGAAAATTACACTTCACTATCTTTCATTGCCAGTGTGTGGCAATAAAATCTCTTCACCCATTCACCCCCATAAACTTCAGCTAATCAAGGGAAATGAGTTCATGAATAATCAGGATTGTATAGATTTCTATAAAATTATAATTAATATTTTTTTGTATTATAATAGAATTATTATTGTCCTCCACCCATTTTTGTAACATTTTTTTTTTTTTTTTTAATAAATTAGAATTCATATTAATCTATTATAAAATATATTTTGGATATGTGTGCCTATTATCATATGAATAATTAATTATCCAGTAATTATACCTAATTTAAATGAGTCAGATGTTAATTTGCATACACACACTTTTGGGAATAGTGAATGATTTGTTAGGATGATTCAAAACAATAATTCTGTGAGTTTTTATTTATTATTTTTTGACTGATTTATTGAAAGAACTGGCTAAGCCTAAGTGGCATCTAGCCACTGAAGACTATGCAATAGAATGACATTGGCTTTGTTTTATTTCATGGTTCATTGCCTGTTCAACTCATTACAATTTAATCAGACTGCAGCTTCGCAATTCTGGTAAAATATGATTTATTTTGCTATGGTGCTATTGATTATTTTATGCTGTGATCAAACTTAGCCTGTCTGCTCTAAAACCCCCTGCTGTTCTGGCTTTATTAATTTTTGCAAGGGCATCTGGCTGACTTACGTATTGGAACCGGTCCACAGCTCTTCTGTGCTTGGCCCGCTGTTAATATTGTCTTATGGGTGATGCTCATGGACACCTGTTCCCTCTGCTAATATCACATGGTCTTCTCTACATTATGGCACATATTGGTGCCTAATACTTTATTGAAAGCAATTAGTTGTTGTCCTTGATATGGTTTAGATCACAAGTTTAGCACAAATATTCTTCTCATTGACAAGCAAATAACAGATGGGCACAACAGAAGCACCGTTATTTCACAGTACAACAGCTCCAGTGTATTACAATGTGCTGACATTGGTAGTAACAGCTGGTAACTGTTTTTCAGATTACTTGATGAGAATAAGAAACATCAGGAGCTGATTCTGGGCATCTGCTCCGAGAAAGACAACATGAGGGATGAGCTGAAGAAGAGGATGGAGACAGAGAAACAGCATATTTGCACCATTAAGAAAGTAATGGCAACCATAAATTGTTTTTGTGTGTGTGTGTGTGTGTGTGTGTGTGTCTGTTTTTATTTGTGTTTTGGATAAACTGACTATCTATTTGTCCAACCATTGGGATACAATGAAGTGATCAAGAAACATTGTTGTAAAGTTTAAACAGTTTAACTTGAAATTTGCTTGAAAATTGTCCAAAGACTATGTACAGTGGGTACGGAAAGTATTCAGACCCCCTTCAATTTTTCACTCTTTGTTATATTGCAGCCATTTGCTAAAATCATTCAAGTTAATTTTTTTTCCTCATTAATGTACACACAGCACCCCATATTGACAGAAAAACACAGAATCGTTGACATTTTTGCAGATTTATTAAAAAAGAAAAACTGAAATATCACATGGTCCTAAGTATTCAGACCCTTTGCTCAGTATTTAGTAGAAGCACCCTTTCGATCTAATACAGCCATGAGTCTTTTTGGGAAAGATGCAACAATTTAAGGGGGTCTGAATACTTTCTGTACCCACTGTATATGCACCAAAAATACATTCAATATCAGTAATATTGTGAAATATTATTGCAATTTAATATAAGTGTTATCTATTTGAATATATTTTAAAATCTAATTTATTCCTGTGATGGCAAAGCTGAATTTTTAGCAGCCATTACTTCTTTCTTGAGTGTCACATGAGTATTCAGAAATCACTATAATATGCTGATTTGGTGCTCAAAAAACATTTCTTATTGGTACATGTTGAAAACCGTTGGTCTGCTTAATATTTTTGTGATACATTTCTTTCAGGATTCTTCGGTAAATCGAAATTCTAAAGAACAGCATTAAAATAGAAATCTTTCTTTACTGTCTCTTTAGATCAGTGTTTCCCAACATTTTTTTAGTCGCGGCACCCTTTGGAAATTTTAACAAACTTGTGGTACCCTACAAAATAAATTGTCACAATATTTGAATTTCTAACTTCGATATGATAATTTGAAAAGTATAGATATTTACACGGCACCCCTGCTCTCGACAGACGGCACCCCGGTTGGGAAACACTGCTTTAGATAATTTAAAGCATCCCTGCTGAATAATTTCTTTAAAAAAAAAAAAAAATCTTACTGACCCCAAACCTTTGAACAGTCATGTATATATGCTCTTGTTACCATATCATTTCTAGTGTATCCAGAATTAAGGTATGTTCAGCTCAATGGCACTATTTGTTATTTAAATGCCTCTTGAGTATCCATGACTGTCCCTTGTGCACTGATTAGAGAACACTTGTTTGCTGAACAGCTTTCATTTGATACTGGAAAAGCGGGCTTGTTTGAGAGCCACTCTAGGCTAAGAGAGACCGTAGTTCAGTTCAATCTGAAAAAGCCCCCTGTCACAGAGAGTAACAGCACAGATCAAACAGAGCAGCCTGGGGGGGGGAACAGGTCGAGAAGCCGTAATTAAGTGTTGCAGTAATGACATGAAACTATTATGTGCATTTTGTTGTCATGGTTTCTCCTCATAGTTAGAACAGGCATCTGAGGCCACACAGACAAACACTTCCTCTGAATGAAACCTTGCCCGTCTGTTTACTTTCATTGAATAGTGGCACTGTGAAGAAAATTTAACACTTGGTTCCTACACATGGTTGCCAGAAAGGGAACTAAACCTGAATGGAACCTTTGTCACTTATTTAAATTATTTAAATTGAATCTATTTTCATAAGCTGTCCAGAACCTGACATTTAAATGAAGGCGCGGGTCATATTTCACTTGCCGGGTGTGTAAACACTGATCTGTTTTGGATCAGCTACTGTCTGTCAGAGCTGCCTCTTTTGTTATCATCATTAATATGTTTATGGTTACCACAGTCACTGCCTTTTAACTGTTTGCCTCTCTTGTTTTACCAGTTTGAAAGCCGGGTGGAGGAACTTATGAAGGATATGAAAGACTCCAGAGACAAACTGGTTCACCAAGATCAGGCCGCTAAGAATGCAATCCAGCAGATGCAGAGGGAGATGGCCTATCGACTTGAACAGGTGAGAGGTCATCGCTATAGAGACACTCCAAACAAAGCCCTTCTTGCATAAGAGCACTGGCTAAATTACTATTAAATCAGTCTGTGCTCTTTGTGTAGCAGCGTCTTTAAAATGAAATCATGTCAGTCTAGGGCTGGACAATAATTCAATATCAATATGTATCGCGATATAATTCTTTTCAATAACGGTGATATGATTTTTAAACACATTTCCGATATTTCGATATACATTACCAGTGTTTCCCATACATTGATTTATTTGTGGCGTTTGACTTCGTTGAATAAACATGAGCACTGCACGTTTCAAAATCAAAACACGGCGCGGGTGTTTTATATGAATGCATCTCTGAAGGGAACCGACTGTCTTCAGAAAAGTTTCGATGACATTTTCATTTGATCTGATAAAGAAGCGTTCTTGAGCGGAGCTGCTTTGATTACTGCCATTACCGGAGAAATCGCAAGTTCTACCGCTCTCAATGCACCTCCTGCTGGCAGACAATCAGTTTTTAAATTTTCAATAAGCTCGTCTCCAGCATTCATATTCTTTGTCCTGGCTGAAGCACATTTGTTTCAATCTATAAAAATAATCAGCCGCCCTACATTACCAGTCAAAGGTTTTTGAACAGTAAGATTTTTAATGTTTTTTTTTTTTTAAGAATTCTCTTTTGCTCACCAAGTCTGCATTTATTTGAAAAATGTAATTGTGATCAAAGCTGAATTTTCAACATCATTACTCCAGTCTTCAGTGTCACATGATCTTCAATCTTCAGTCTAATATGCTGATTTGCTGATTATCAATATACAGTTGAGTATTTTTTTTTTCAGGATTCTTTGATGAACAGAAAGATCCAAAGATCAGCATTTATCTGAAATAAAAAGCTTTTGTAAAATCTAACATTTTATGCATGCAAAATGGATTTCAAGAGAATGGAAGACCATATATGATTAACAAATGACCAGCCTAGGGATAAATGTATTATCACATAAAGGATTATTAATATCACACTACCATTCAAAGGTTTGGGGTCAGTAGGACTTATATATATTATATATAATTTTATTTAGCAAGGATGCATTATTAAGATTTCTATACCAAATACATGCTGTTCCTTTGAACTGTATTCTTCAGTTAAAAAAAAAAGTTTCCACAAAATAATATTTAGCAGCACAACTGTTTTCAAATGTATCTTGAGCAGCAAATCGAATGATTTCTGAAGGATCATGTGACTGGAGTAATGATGCTAAAAATATAGCTTTGAAATCTTTGAAATCAATTGCATTTTAAAATATTTCCAAATAGAAAAGAGCTATTTTAAATAGTAAAATTATTTCAAAATGTTACTGTTTTTGCTGTATTTTGGATCAAATAAATGCAGGCTTGGTGAGCAGAAGAGAATTCTTTAAAAACAATAAAAATCTTACTGTTCAAAAACTTTTGACTGGTATGTTGGAAGATATTAATAATTAATAAGGTGAGTCTGAGATGTTTATTTGACATTGATTTCACATTTCTTGTTTGTATGAAGGCTAAATACAAATAAAAGGTGAACATTAATTTATTTGTGCTGTTTTTTTTTCTCTAAAATATTATATGGTTTTATATGAGGTGTCATAGACTTGGCAAATTAATTTTTCATAAGTTTGTATGCACAGACATCTGTTGTGGGCGTTCTTGGCAGTTTTTACAAGGCTTTTTTAAATAGTGTTCATATCGATATCGGAATTATATCGTATCGACCGAAATTAAGAAATATATCGTGATATAAATTTTGGACATATCGTCCAGCCCTATGTCAGTCCTGAAGTGATGTCTTGTTTGCACAAAGTGAAAGAGGGTCTTTAATATGGGTCTTTTTGTCCTCATCCTTTTTTAGTCCACACAACTGTGGGTAAATGTAAAGTCCAGCGTTCGGATATTGAGGACTAATATCATAAAGTTGTGCAAATTGTATTTAGTTTGGCAGGACTTGTTCAAACAGCCCCTCACTCTCATTTAAACTTGTTGTTCAAGTTTCAGGGCATGTCTTTTGCTCTTTCACTCTCATGTAAACGCCTCAGTCAAGTGTGAAGGCCTGTCTTTTCCTCTTTCACTGCCTTTGGATGCATAAAATATGTTAAATGGCCAAGTTATTATAGAATGGTGTATATTCGGGCTGGTAACCTGATGGTTATAGGTTCAAGCCTTACATGTCCCTAGTTCGGCAGGGCTTGTACAAGCAGCATTTCACTCTCATGTAAATTCCTCAGTCAAGTGTTAGGGCCTCTCTTTTGCTCTTTCACTGCCTTTGGATGCATAAAATATGTTAAAGGGGTCATATGATGCTGCTAAAAAGAACATTATTTTCTGTATTTGGTGTAATGAAATGTGTTTATGAGGTTTAAGGATCAAAAAACACATTATTTTCCACATACTGTACATTATTGTTTCTCTTCTATGCCCCGCCTTTCTGAAACGCGTCGATTTTTACAAAGCTCATCGGTCTGAAAAAGCGAGGTGT